TCTGCTGCGGTCGTTGCTCATGCACCTACGTGCAGAGAAAATGGCTTTCTTGGGAGAAGAGTCCCGGTTTTCTGCAGTGCTTTTGCCGCGCCGGGTTCCTGTCCCTGTCCCCTTCGTCCCACGAGGTGGCACTGTCTCTTCTGGAAGGACACAGAGGCTCCAGCGCTGCCCCGGGGGGAGCTGCGTGGGGGGACCAGGCTTCCGCGGGACCCAGGGCAGGAGCCTTCTGAGAACACGGGCTGCTTCTCCGTTCCTGTGGACTCTGCCTTTCTGAGACAGGTTATGCCCATGTTCTTAGGGACAGAGTAGACAAAGTTTTGGTCGAGTAGTGTTATCTTAGAAAAACATCTTGAGCTCCTTGCCTGCTTTTGTTTGTAGAAGGTTTCTGGCATTCAGAGGATTCTTCTTATGGCATGGAAGTTAAAGCCAGGTGATGCTGATCCCAGAATGCTGGTTTGCTGCATTTTGAGTCAGAATTGCGTGACTTTTGAAGGAAAACCAGTAGCTATCTATATTTCGAGGCCAGAAAAGAGTAATTACTCTAGGAATTGCCAGATCCACTAAAGGTGCTTTTTTTTTTTTTTCTGCAAGCTGATACAAAAATTTCAGGAAATCAAGACCGGTCATGACAACTTCCCTGTAAGCACACAAGCTAAATCTGTGTTGCATGGAAAGGGAGCAGTGTTGCTGCTATCCATGAATTCCCTCTGGAAACATGTTACCTCCAATCAGCCTCTCACGGGTTTTAGACCTCCTAAGTAGAGGGACTGTGTTTTCTCTTGTTGGGAGGTTCTCCAGGTTGGCTGTTAGGCGAAGTCTGCATTGCCTGTGGAGGCTGTTTTACCTCAGGAGGCTACACCATGATTAGAAGCATTCACCATTGAAAAGGGTTGATTTAATTATTTTTTTTTCATCTGGTTGATGTCTAGAGAAATGGATGATGATGATGATGACATTCCCCAGCTTTCATCCCATACATTGGCTGCCCTCCAGGATTTCTATTTGGAACAGCAGCAGAGAGAGGGCATGAAGACCTCCCAGGGATTTAATCAATATTCCGTTGGCTCAATAGAAGAAGATTGGGTAAGAAACTAAACTTCAGTCAATGAAGAACCATTAGAGGAGTAGCCTTTACCGAGTTTCTTTTGTGGATGGATAATGAAATGAAATTTAAAAGGGCAACACACAAGATGTTCCTAGAGTAGCAAAATCCAACTATGCTTGGACAGTAACACTGTAGGGATGCTTGCTTTAATATTAAATTTGGGTATAGTTGTCTGTTCTACATGTGCAGGGGTTGGGCCACAAACTGAAATTGCATGGAGCGGGAATAAAGCTGCCAACAGAAGCATCTATCCCTTCTGGGAGTTTTAACTCCAGCCTGGCATGTAAAGGTAGTAAAGATTCTTCCCTGAGACAAGATCAAGTGATTTTCCCTTTCACATCATATTTCTGTGTTTTATTTGTTTGGTTTTGTGGGTGGCTGATTTGCAGCTTTTTTTCTTCTGACAGACCGATTCTTGGTTTGTCTCTGTGTTGGTTTTTCTTGTACTTATCCTTTTTCTGGTCTGATTTAGTACTTTTATCCTTTATTTCCTTCTACGCTGTCACTTTTCAAGGACCTTTTTCCTGTTCTGCTAAAGTAACTCAATTTAAGAGCACATAAATTTTGTGCCTTGGCACACTGGGCTTGAGCTAACCTCATCAGTGACTTTGCATTACCTGGTTTTCCTGATGCTGCAGCAGCTGCTTTGGAAGCACCCAGTGCAGGCTGCCTGCCGCACAGCACTGGATCACAGAAGCAATGAGACTGTCAGGAAAAGAGTCACCTTTCCAGCTTCACAGCTGGTGAACTGCGAAGTTGCTCTGGGTTTTGGTTTTCCTCCAACATGACTCGCCACACCTAACTGTCCGTGGCACAATCAGGAGATTTGACTTTGTAATTGTGTGTTACCTCCCTCAGCAACTGAGCCAGTTCTGGTACAGCGATGAAACCGCGTCGTGCCTGGCTAACGAAGCGGTCCTGGCAGCGGGGAAAGGTGGCAGGTAGGTGTTAATCCTTACACTGTAGATTTAATTAATAGTTCATACTCACCTTACCATTTAGCGTTTCACTGAATGTTCTAGAATGTTGTAAAAGTTTACTATGAATATTTTTATTTTTTTGAGAAACACAGATTGTTCCAGAGCGTATTAATAACTTGTAATTCGTTTCTTTATTTTCATACAATGTTTCTGTAACACATGGAAAAACTTGGTTTTCATCCTATTTCTGTAAGGAGTTGTTTTTAAGTTTTCGTGTCTATTTCCTTGCTGTCCTGAAACAAGACTTTCTGTGTAGTTTTGTGCAGCATGGAGGTTTAATAGAGAATGGCTTTAATGCTTAAAACTCTATTAAAGAAATTCTGTGTTAGAATGGAGGTTACATTTTTGGGACTAACGTTTAAAATGTTTTCTCAAAGGAGCCCCAAGGACTGCTGTAGGGTTTTGTTGTTGTTTGCCTTTTACATGAATATTCTAAGTTATTGTCTCTTACTCAGGATCGCATGTGTTAGTGCACCAAGTGTGTACCAGAAACTGAAAGAACGGGATGGTGAAGATTTTTCAGTGTGTTTACTAGAGTATGACAGAAGGTTTTCTGTGTATGGAGAAGAATTTATCTTCTATGATTACAACTACCCTTTGAACTTACCTGAAAAGCTCCTGCCACACAGTTTTGACATCGTAGTAGCAGATCCACCTTATCTGTCTGAGGAATGTCTTCAAAAAACTGCAGAGACCATCAAATACTTAACAAAAGGAAAGATTCTGCTTTGCACAGGTATAATTAATAAAGATATTAGGTCCCCATTAAGCATCTCTTTCTCTCTCTCAAAAGACAAACTTACTCAAGTCAGAAAAATACTAATTCAATAATACTAATTTATCTTTAATTCAAGGAATATGTATCCTAAGCTTTTTATTGGAATACTTCAGTTCTACTTTTATTTTAAACTGTTTTTAAGTAGTTGAAGTCAGTACTATTTTCATATGGCATGACAAGTTTTACTATATTTTTTTATAAGAATTATAAGATTGTCCTGCAAAGTTCCAGAAATATTTCTTTTCCTTGTAAAAGGGCCACTCTCTATAATTGCAGTGTTTGAAATCTGGATATGACAGAGGGTGCAACTTATTGTGAATGTCTTATTCAATAGCCTTATGAATTTGTGATATTTTAAATGTGTCAGTAGCTGCAGCATTTCAGCTGCCTCATATTACTTAGCACCTATGGTGAGCTAAGTAGAAAGATTGACAAGTAGAATGGAATGGTCTTTGCTGAGTAAAGTGGGATGACTTTAGCGAAGTCTTGAAAAGCAAAACAAAGTCAACTTTTTTTTTTTTTTATATATGACTTGTCCTTAGTGGTAAACATAAATGTGAAGGAACATATGAGGGGATTCTGCTGCTGTCATTCAAGTGTGGTCTTGGGCACTAGAATATAGCAGGGGGAATTAAACACCAGTGATAAGAGCAGTGAAACAGGGTAACTTGCCAAAGGTCCTTCTTTATGAAGATGCACTTGCTGTTTCAAGAAGCCATGAGTATCTGCCTTAGTCATGGTGTCTCATAAACTGTAATTTAAACTGTCTTATTACAAGACATCTGGAGACATCCAGGAAACTGGAAACTTTTGCAAAGTAACAAAAGGACAAAACCCCTCTCTATATACAATTTGAGGGAATTCAACCAAGCAGGGAGAATCAAGCAAAATTAAAGTCCTACATGGCCATAGAAAGCTTCGTTCTGTGTTTAACTGCACATCAGTCATGCAGAAGGATGGTTCTCAGGATTTTTTCCCTAAAATGGATAGGTGGTCCTCCAGTTTAGAGAGCTGGAGGAGTCCTGCTCCTGGGGGTGATTTCCCCGCGTGAGGCTGTCGGTGTCCCACTGTGGCTTGTTGCCGCGGGCGAGTGCACGTGACCTGCTTGCACTGCCCAGGGCTCCCACCACGCCAGTGCTCTGGGGTGGAGAGAGAGGATTGAGCTCAAGTCTCTGCTCTCTGTGAAGGGGGCACTGATCTTACCCTCTGCCTATCTTTGTGAAACTTCTCAGACACTCGTTTCCTTTGGGTGTCTTCCATTCTGGCGTATTTATTCTAGATTTCCCAATGGATTCAGTTGTTAAAGAGGGCTGACAGTGTAGCTGCTTTTAAGCCTTGCTTCTGTAAAAAAAAAAGCAAGCTCTCTATATATGCATTTGGGAGGAGCTGTTAAAAAAGCCCAAGCATTCTGTTGCTGGTTTTTCTCATCAAACACTAATTATTTTTGCTGCAGGTGCCATCATGGAGGAACAGGCAGTAAGGCATCTCGGTGTGAAGATATGCAAGTTTATTCCAAAACACTCACGAAATTTAGCCAATGAATTCCGATGTTATGTGAACTATGCTTCTGGACTGGACTGATTCTCATAAGAGCTACAAGTTTTTTGTCAAGCTCCTGTTTTTCTACCAGTGACTCCACAGGTCTGTGCTGAAATACTCAGCTCCAAGTGCTGTTTTCTGGGTTAGCTTGAATCGACATAGTGTGAGAGCCTTGGGACCAAGTAATGCAGGTTTTGGATAATGGGATAATCTCTCATTCCAACTGGTAGTTTTTACCGTTCAAGGACTCTTTGGTGACTTCTCTGAAGTGATTTTAGCTGGTTGGCTTATAACAACACATAGGTGCTTGCCTCACAGACATCAGAATCATCACTGCATCAGAACTGATGACTTGGTGCCTTAGCAGATAGTTGAAATAGCATGAATTGTGGTCTCCTTGCACTCTTGAGAGATGCTCCCTTAGTAGTAGGATTGAGAGATCATAGAATCTGGAATGGCTTGGTTGGAAGAGACCTTAAAGATCATCTTATTCCAGACCCTCTGCCATGGGCAGGGGCACCTCCCACTGGACCAGGTTGCACAAGGCTCCATCCAACCTGAACAAATGCAGTGATGGAGCATCCACAGCTTCCCTGTTCTGAACAGGTCATGTTTTCAGATTCTCTCTCCAGGATGCTGATGTTTTCATAAAGGCTAACTAGAAGAGAGAATAGGTCTCCTGGTGAGGCCTCTCCAGTTGCTTTTAGTAATAATCAGAACTACCTACCAGTTAAGACCAACTATGCACTACTGTTGCCAGCCTGACTTTTAAACAACACATGGCTATTATTTCACCTTTTCTCTGTAAAGCCTTGTCAGAAACCCAGACTTCCTTTTGGTAAAAGATAAGATCCATTTTGTCATCAGCACCATGTAAATGTGTGTATGTATATGTTCTGTACTACAGGAAAGTAACGTCAGGCTTCAAAGGCCTCTGCAGAAGTGTGGTGCATTCACGTTGTGATGTTTATGAGTTAGTGCAACAGGAAGTCATGAGCTTTTAAAAGAACCCCACACAGCTAGGCTATTCTGTTTACTAGTTAAGCTAATCTCCAAAAGGGGTATAAACCTGATGTCTCCTTGAAAGAAGATTCCCCCATTAGATAGAGCTTTACTTTCATTAAGAACCTTATACGTTAGTCAGGCCAATCACTTGTACAAAGTACAGAGTAGTTACTAAATAGAAGTGCAACACATCAGCCAGTCCTTGCTTTAGTGTTTCAGACTGTGTGGGCTCTCACCTGCAGTTACTCTTGGCTGTGAGATAGTGATGTGACCTCTACATGTTAGTCCCTTAAATCTTGAACCATAACGGATCTGATTAAATGCAGCTCCTGCTTTTTAGTAGATTATTGAGTTTGTAGTTAAAAGAACAGTCCTTTTTCCCCAATTGCCCAGATTTGGCTTTGCCTTCTGTTCCTCAGACGGCAGCTGAGCAGTAGAGTAGCACCATCGTAGAAATCATTGGCTCTTACAAGGCCATTGAGGTATAACAGAGTGCACTGATAAATTCCCACTGTTTCTCAGAGACAAGTTTCGTATACAAAGTTTGAGCTACATTTCAATCAAAACAGATGATCCATTAGAAAAACTTTGCTTTGGGATAGTAGAGATTTTTGGTAACTGGGGATCTTTAAAGCCAGTTCTTACTAACCTCCTGACTACACTGCTGGTGTATTTTTGGGTGAAAGTTGGTTCATAAATTCCAAGGCACTCAACAGTTTTATCTTCTATAAATATACGACACAGAACCTTACATTTGAGATTGTGTTCAAGGCTACAGAAATGCTGTGTCTACAAAATGAAGTATTACATTTATTTTGCGGTGGGAATAAACCTAATTAAGCTTGTGAGACAAGACTTCTAATAAGGTAGAGATAATACTCATGTTTCTGTGCGTTTCTGCTGTTTGGATGCACATTTTACCATCTGGTGGAGTAAACAAAGGCGCAGGAATAGCGTAGATGGGATATAAACCTTTCGGTGCTCAGAGAATCCTGCTTCCTGAGCTAGGCATGACACTGCTTCATAAATACCTGCCTAAGCTGCTGTTGTTCTCTTCCCCATTTTCCAAGAGTTCTGTTCACTTCCTAAAGCTTTTCCCTCCTCCTATTTTTTATCTGCTACCTCCTCCTCCCTTCTGCCCCCATACAGTATTCCTGAGTTTTGTGATACCAGTGTTTTCTCCTTCATGCACCTTGGTTTCTGTCAGACTGGTAATAAGTGTTGCTAAAATGAGAGAAGTGCAGCAGAGGAGGAGCTCGCAGGGAGTGTGGAGACCGAGCTCACCTGAGTGCCTGCGAGCCCACAGCCAAAACCAAGAGCCATCCTTGCTGCTCAGGCCATTAAAGGCAGAATCTCCCCCAAAAACGCCTGCTGCCCCCAGGTGACATACAGCTGGGTTTAGCTGCTTTCCAGGAGGCTATGCCATTACCTTCATGTGGCTAGTTTCAAAAAAAAAAAA